AAATTATGTAAGATTTAACCATTGGGGGAAACTGGGTGAAGGGTACTTGGGATCTTTCTCTACTATCTTTGCAACTTCCTGTGAGTCTGTAATTATTTTGAAATGAAAAGTTTTTTTTTTAAAAAAAGGATTATTACTCTGACTGTTGTTTTGAGAATAGATTGCAGGCGGCCAAGGGCAGAATCAGGGATACTAGTTAGGAGTAATATTAGGAGGCTATTACAGTAATCCAGGAGGAAGATAATAGCTGTTGGAGGAAGTTGGTGGCATCAGAGTGGGGTGGGGATAGGGGTGAGGAATAGTTGAATTCTGGGTATATTTTGAAGGTAGAGTTAATAAAATTTGCTGATGGATGTGAGGTGTGGGAGAAAGAGAATGAAAGGTGACGCCAAGGTTTTTGGGCTGAACAACTGGGAGAATGAAGAAAAGAGATAGTAACAAGAAGCAGCAACAAGTAAAGAAGGCTGGTATGAGATGGTTGGATTCTTGGCCAGGAAAACAAAATAACAAACCCTCTTCCTCTAGTCAGTGGCAGCTTGGGGCCTACGAGAGTGAGGACAGTATGACATTTCAAGTGAGTGCACTCCTGTTAACCTGCTTCCAGGCAGCTGAGTTATCTTGGCCTCACCCTGGCTTTTTTGGAAAGAAGCATTTGTTTGATAAACAGGAAGTTGTTTCCATGGGTGTAGAAAGAAGAAATGATAGAACTGAGTGGCAAAGCAAAGAACTGCTAGCTGTGGTTAGCTTGGAATTGGCAGAAATTTTTTCAGGTAGCCACCTAAGCTTAGCATACATACTGCCTTTTCCCCATTCTGGACTGGGTTATTTTTCCATCATGAAAAATGAAAACTTTCTGCCCTATTGCTTGACCTGCTGTCAGGGTATGTTCATTTTCAGCTAGTGTTTTGGATCAGTTGTGAGTTGTAGACTTAGCAGACAAATGGAGACACTGTCTGTTTATAGTGGAAAAGTGACTTATTTTAAGAAATGTTGGCTCCCCACCACTATCCCATTAGTGGCATGCCTCTGACCCTCCAATGAAGCTGGTCTAGGGAAGTTAAGACTGCCTGATGTGTATTTTTGCTCTTTGAAAGGTTAGAATCTAAATGTACCACAAGATATTTCTTTCTGAGTCAGATTGGGACAAAATTACAAACAGTGAATTCTGAAGCAAACTTTATACATACGGCGCTCTAATACTTTTGAAACTTCAGACTTCATTCTCTCCACTTCTAGTCATTCTAATCCTCATGAGGTATCTGAATCCCTTAGTGTCACTAACTTCTTATTTTGTGACGAAGAACAAATTAAAAAGATTAAAGAAATCCAGTGCCAGGTGATTTGTGGCGATTGGAAAGTGAGAAAGAGAACTTATACTCCTTACTTTTGATAAGAGCTTGAAACAGGAGAACCGTTTTCTTCTTCTGAGTCACCTCATCCTTGTCTGGATTGAAATGGTTGAAGTGAAGTTGTGATGGAGAAAAACTTTAAATTTGCCTGAGATGAATAGTGGCAACTAAATAGGTAAGCAGTTAATTGATGGTGAAAAAGGACTTACTGTGATGGAGTTTTTGCAGCAGGTATCTAATTGAAGATTGTTTAGCCTCCTGGTGGGTGAGGGGAGAAGGAATCTAGGAATACTGAAAGCTAGGGTTGTGGCTGCCATGTGGGATGTTTGGGACTGAAGATATGGGTGATATCTCGCTGAGTATTTAGGAGAATTACCTCACTGAACTGCCTGGAAGAAGCAGAACAACTCTTTAGAGTTCCTTGCACCTATGGTTTATCCTAACAAGATTCAGAATATATTTTACTTTGAATATTGAGTGGTTCGGGAGCCATTTTCTTTCATTTGCCTTCTCAAATGACCCCAGTATTTATTCAAATGCTGTGACTTTGTGTTAACTCTAGGCTGGCTACTGCTCTGGGTTTTTCGCTGAAAGGTAAATATCCCATTTGAGCTTTAAGAATTTTCACTGCCTGCCTATAGAGCACACATGAACATAAAGCAGCCATTTGTCCGCGGGCAGCTAACAGGCAATTTCAGCAGGGACGAAAACCACTGCAGGCTGCTGGCTTCCTGGCACACCCACTAGACCCTGTAGGTTTACACTGAAAACAAACTAACAGGGGATAGGGGTGGTGGTGGTAATAAGACAGGCAAAAATAAAAGCAGAGGCTAAAGTCTGAAGACATTGAGCCATTAAGATGGTCCTGTATGTGGAGAAGAGCACAGTGCTCCCAAAGAGGAGAAAACTTGAACATCAAACGCAATGGCCAGGAGAAAACATCTGATGTTTGCAGCTAACACTTTTTAAAAAGTAATAATTTATATATCTTTATGTTCATAATTATAGGGATACTGTAGGTATCTTTAGGCAAAATGCTATACAATTTAAGCTGTTATACCCAGTGTGCTATCACAAATATCTTTTGGCCAGAACCATGTAACAGTGAAAATTGATATATATTGTAATCACCTTCAAACACTACAGAATCCTTGTGATCTGTTAACCAAATGCTTAAATATTCTGTGTATGATGTTGAGTGGACCTTTAAAAAAATAGCTTTTTGAATGTCTTTAAAGTTAAAGTTATGTCATATATGGTAACTCTTAATCAAAGTACAAATTTTGTTCCCAAATATGCTATCCTTTCTTTGGCCATTGCATGTAACAGAGTTTATTTCTATTTAGCAGATCAAGAGATGGGGATATTGGCAGTATAAATGATTTGTCCAAGGACAACCAATGTGTCATTGTAGAGATAAAACAGAACAAGGCTACATTCCACCAGCTCCTGGCCTATGTAACAATTTTGAGAACTTTCCAGTCATTTTAGGAAAACAGTACTTAGAAAATATAAAGAGTTTTTTTTTTAAATAAAAGAAAACCTCTTATTTTGGAAATCACCAAATTAATCATTCTGTTGTATTTAAGAAGCTCTTTGATGTGTTCTGGTAATTAGTATTTACTGCCAGACGAATGTCTCTTGAGCATTTTAATTAATGGGTGGCTTGGCCAAATGAGCTTCTGATGGTAAACCTTCATAAGAGTTTATTTTTATGTTTCTCAAGAATAGCTGTCTCTTCAAAGCTCTTTAATTAGACAAAGTTTAGCAGCTAAAACATATTATTAGAATAATTGGGCCTTGGGTTAAGAGAAATAGGGGGTCAAAGGAGCAGGTACTGTTAGAAAATGGCCTCTTAAAATAACACATAGCGTTCCACATCTGATGGATGTTCAGTGTTTTAACAGCTTATGTTAAGTTACTATCCCTAGTTAGGGACTTTGTGTTGTTTAAAGTTCATATGACAGATCTCACCAGAAGCCTAAACACACCAGAGTGTGAGCTCATTTATCACCACCTCTAAACTCTGTAGCAAGCTGTATTCTATATTCTAGTCCTTTTGACTTGTAAGCTGAAGACTTCTTACTTTCTCCTTCTTTCTACAAAATTGGTAATCTTGGCCATAATAGTGATTGTTTTTGAGGAAAATGCTTCAAAGATCTTATGTTTGGGTCATTGATAACCCTAACAATTGTAACAATTCCCTTGAGGGGTCTTTCTTAATAATTTAAATCATCTGTTTGTAAGACATTGTTCTTAAAAATTCTGTAGTATTTGATCTCCAAAATTTTATGTTCTTTGAGGTCATAATGTTGTTTGAATTATTTGAAAATCTACTATGTAGATGGATTATCATTTAGCTCCCCTTCTTCACGTGCTCTCCCCCTCTGCCCCCACCCCATTTCTTGACCTAAGCTCTCAATCTTGGCAGTCATTGCTAGTGCGTTTGTTTTATCCCGAATTTCCTCTTTGTGAGGAAGAAAAGATAAACCTGACTGGTCCTGTGAGTGATTGAGATGTCGCCAAAACAATGGAGTAGTATTACTGAAACTACTGTTGTAAACAAACAATGCATTTATTTATATTATCTAATTTTTCACTTTCCCACTATCTCAGGATGCCTATGATGGCAAATGTGTCCTTTTCCCAGCTAGATCAGTTGTTTTAAGGATAGTGCTAATGAGACTTCAAAAAGAGCAAACTATATTGTCACTCACATTTCTAATCCCATCAGTTGTCATGACCTGTGTATGTTGTTGGTCAGATGAAGAACTGGGTTAAGGATATGTATGTCATTGGTTCACTGTAAACCTACTGCCACTATTAGAAAAGAAGTACTTAAAGAACTTACAGTATTGATTATGGGTTAATCAATTCATTTTTAAATATAGAAGATAGCCTAATTTATAGTATTACAAAGTTTATCACATGTAAATTCTTTTGCTATACCTTAGTTAGCAACATAGCAAATGAAATTATTTCATTTAAAGTGGTAGAAACTTCACTTGGTTTTCTATTGATGTTATCTGTAAAAATTAGTAACATAGTTTTGAAAAATATTTGGTAAGCACAATAAATGCAGATGTAAAGATGCAGGCATGCTATTATGCCTTCCAGAGAGTAGTCCCCAAATAAATACCTCTTTAAAAATGTCAAATTGTAAAACTTTGAGAAAGCATAAGAGATATCAGCCTAAACGGAGTCCTGTGTAAAGCAGTTTTTTCCCCCTTAGCAAGGACTGATTTCTGTCAGCTCTTTTCTAAAATGATCAATTATTGTGACTTTGCTTTTTGACTTGCGCTTTAGCACAGGAAATATTGCTGATACTTATCTTCATGTGTGTTTGCTTCGTATATATAATCTATTGCAATGGAGATATGACAAGGAAGGTGTTGAATGTTATGGTCTTGAAAAATACCGTTATATCCCTCAGAACTTTTTCAGGATTTATACTTAAAATAGTTTGGGTACTGATTACCAATGAATTTTTATAGATGCCAACCAGGACTATAAGTGTGTTGTTTTCTGTTTGTTTGTTTCACTTCTTTAAATCCTTCCTTTGTTGGGCTCCTTGCATCCCTCCTTAAGTCTGCCTTTTGAGATTATACCAGGATCCAAAATGAGAACTGACTCTGTTTTTCTTCAATGCAGACCACCTGGTGGCCCACGGTAGAATGGCAGAAAAGGAGGCCCGTCGGAAGTTCAAACAGATCGTCACAGCTGTCTATTTTTGTCACTGTCGGAACATTGTTCATCGTGATCTAAAAGCTGAAAATTTGCTTCTGGATGCCAATCTGAATATCAAAATAGCAGGTGAGAAGCGTATTGAGTATGTGAAGTAGAAGTAAAGGAGCTTTTCCTTCGGGGTTCTTAAAACAAGGAATTGTTTATTTCCATCTATTCAGAGAGAAGTATTGTGAAAATAAAGGATTTTTGTGTGGCTTGAAAGCTGATAAACTTTCAGAATACATTTATATTATTTTTCATGTAGTATAAGATGGAACTAGGCTGGGAAGAAAGAAGGAAAAGGGTGATATTTAAAATTCTATTATTTTGGTCGACAGGTCCCTTTTAAATATTAAGGAATAAAATATAGAATAAAGTACTAAGAAAAACTGCTAAAATTGTATACCCTCTCACCTTCGTTTGAGAAAGTTGATATATGTCACTGCTGATATAGAGCATGCTTATTCTAAAGACTGTAGTTTTATGATAATTTATGAAGAATAGATCTTATAGTGGTTTAAAGGCAGTCCATGTCTGTTTCCTCAAAGTTCACTCATCTGCTCATCTCACAGTGCCCAAAAAGTTCTTTTCACTGCCTCAGTCTACTCATACTTCAGTTTTAGTAAACTGTCAGCATGTGCCTAACCAACACAAGCTCACCACCTATTGATAGAAGAAAGTGACTGCAATCTATATAGAATCCATAAACATGAGAATAAGCCATTTTTGTTTTCTGACAGTTTTCAGTATTGCATTATGTGTCCCTCATCTCCCAGATTAAAAGGGAGGGAGTCTCATATAGAAAGCTGAAGTATAGCTAGAGTAGAATTGCCTTGAAAAGCCAAGATAAAAAGCAATTCTAAAAATTTTCCTCCTTAATAGGGTGGGAGTTGAGAGTTCAGATTTAAATTATAGATCAAAGTAGCTACGTGTACCCTTGCAGCTTGATGATTCTTCTGATAGTTTCTTTGTGTAGATAAGTCTGTTCACTTTCCAGGCTCTACTTTTACATCCTTGGAACGTCACCTAGGTTTTTATTTGTTCAAGCCAGGCTGATGGATGCACTGGTTTAGAACTTGCACACAGTTGTAAGCTCTTTGAGTCCTGCACTTGCTGAGTACATAGTAGACAGGAATGCTTTCTTTATCTTACATAAAATCATATTTTTCCTATGCCCTTATGTCTGTTTTATATTCTCCAAAGCTCTCTAGATGCTGACATTTCTGACAGAGGTGGGTAGCATGGAAAGGCCTGGCAATTTCAAACCCTCTTTTCAAATTATTTGTTGTAGCTTCAATTAAGTTAATGGTAATAACACCTACTAAACTTCACAATCCTTAAAAGTATAAAAAAATGTTGTGTGAATTTCCTATTGTTGCTGTAACAAATTACCACAAACTTAGTGGCTTAAAACAACACAAATTTATTATCCTACAGTTCTGAAGTTTAGAAATCTGAAATGAATTTTACAGGCTTAAATCAAGGTATTAGTATGACTGGTTTTTCTGGAGGCTCTAGATATCTGTCTCTTTCGGCTTCTAGAGGCCTCCTGCTTTCCTTGGCTCCAGCCCCTTCCTCACATCACTCCACCTTCTTGCTTCCATTGTCACGTCTCCCACTCCTAATGTGATCTTCCTGCTTCCCTCTTGGAAGGACCTTGTGATTACATTGGGCCCTCCTGAATAGTGCAGGACAATCTCCCTATCTCAAGATCCTTAATTTAATCACGTCTGCAACAGTCCCTTTTACTATGGAGGTAACACATTCAAAGTTCCATGGATTAGGACATGGATGTCTTTGGGGGGCCTATTTAGCCTACCACAAATGTTACTGTCGAGTTCTTTGGATTATTGATTAGGGTAGTGAGTTAAAAGAAGGCCCTCTTTTTCTACTATAGTTTTATTCTACTGACCAAAGGTTAAACATTTTTTTCGGCTTCCTTGGTTCTTGATTTTGAATTTAGAACCATTTTGATTTAATTAAGGGACATTTTATGTAGTTTTTGCATTGAAAAACCAGGGGTCAATGATAATTGAAATTAGAAACTCTACTGACAAGTATTTGGGTAAGGAGATTTTTAAATGCTTTTCCTTGTTAATAGTTAAAACAAATCCATGTAGTCACAATAAGAGTCTACCTGCTGATGTGTAATTACAGACTCCTAGGGGTGCTGGCAGCCAGCCTTGGGCTCTCTCTGTGTTAACATATATACTTTGGCAAGCTTTTTAAGTTCATTAACCCAAAGTTGCATTTTTATTATTTGTTTTTAGAGCCAAGCAAAGAATAATTGAACACCTCTAGTTTTGTGCCCTGCGATATATAGTAGCTAACATTGTCTTTGCTCATGCATTCTTTCCTACATGCCATCATTACCCCGTTTCTCAATCATTGTCTGAACTTCATTTCTTACACATAAATTAGATAGGATTCCCATTCTCATCTGCCAAGTCTTCTTTGAACTTAATGAACCAGTGGGAGAAATGCTTTAGTTGAAGCTGACTACAGCATGACTAATTTGGGAGAGGGAGGTTGGATGGTTCTGACAGGATACGGTCAGATAAGTAATGAAATCAACTTTTTATTCTAAAAGCTAAAAGTAACTTTCAGATCCCTGATCTTCTCAGTGGTCTTTTTGATGAATTATTATAAATCTCAGTAGCAAGGAACTACTGCATATGAAAGAAACAAATGAGAGAGAAAAGAGTTTTTTTGTTTTATTTAAAATATTGTTAGTCTTTAGTACTTCATCTTTAAAATCATCATATATGTTATAGTAGTAAATTAAAGTGGAATTAATAAAAATTCAGATTGGGAAATTTAAGGAATTCACGCTCTTCTTATGCCACGTTTACCTAAGTGATTTCGATGAAAAGATTATGCATCCTCTTCAAACGTAGACAGTGAATAAGTTGTTATGAGAATGTTTGTTTTACATTAATTTATTTTTACTTTGTATATGAATTAATGTGGAAATTTACATTTAATACTTGATACTATAAAAATATAGCTATTATAAAAGCCTATGCTAGCCCTCTTTGAGAGAATATGTGTTCCCTGGATGTGAGAGAGAAACTTCACTTACAGGTATTAAAAGATTCAGCATCATTCCATGGTTTAAGAGTTTTTGTGCTTAAAGTCTTATCTATGAATATTTGTTCTAGTACTACTTCTAGAGAGAATGAAGCGCAGGTGAATAACTTTGTTTTCTTTCTGGTTTTAGAATAAAAAAATTCTTCTTCTTAATGGCACTAGCAAACCTGTCTTCTGTAGAATTGTTTTAAAGATTTTTCTGTCTTTAGTAATCCAGAATAAGCATTGATGGTTTTCAGAATAAAGAATTTTATTTCTGAAAGGCAATGTTACCAAGTCTAGAACTAAGAATTTGTAGGGGTTATCTGAAATCTTATCTGTTGTTAGCAAAGGCTCTTTGCTCGGGTGTCATGGAAGAGAAAAAGAGAAATGTAAGGCATGACTCCTACTCTTCAAGAGTTGACTATTTGGGCAGCAAATGCTTAGACCTTTGAAAAGTTAAGTAACACTGAAATTATGCTTTACGCATATAAAAAATACTTTACAAAGCATTTTCACATGTATCATTTAATTTCATCATATTTGGCAGGCAAATATAGCTTATTTAGAAAATATTAGAGTTTCCAAAACACATACCTTTAAGTTTTCAAAACTTTGTATTTTTTATAAAGAACACTCATGCAAATTTCTTTCACGTAGAGAATCCAATGGCGGGAAAAGAATAGGGTTCTTGGCCTCTAAACTTTCAGTTTTCATTCTTCAGACGTGTAAGGATCCACAGAAGAGCAGATGAAGGGTGGGGGAGGCACAACACGGCTCTCTCAGCGTATAGCCTATATCCCCGGGTGACAGCATGTTCAATAGCTACCGAATCATAGTTTGACACAGTAGAAGAGATGTTACAAGGCACGTCGTGATTCATCATTTGTTAATTGTACAGTCTAATTACCACAGGAGTTCAGAGGATGAAGAAACCACTTTTGTTTGTAAAATTCCATTAGATTATAAATGCCACAGGCACTGTAACCATATTGTGTTTGTTGTTTCCCCCCCACTGCCTAGCATATACCTGTTCTATAGTAGGTGCTCAATAGCTTTGTTGATCTGAACTTTAGACAGTGATGATGAGGACATAAATATCCTATTGAGGACATAACAGTTGAGGTGAGTCTTAAAGGATAAGTGGGATTCTTTAAGGTGTAGGCATAGAGGAGAGAATTCCAGTAGAATTAGTCAGTCAGCAAATGTTAAGAAAGCACCTGCTATGTACGAACACTGATCTAGGCACTGGGGATACAGCAACAGATAAAATAGTCCTTTGGAGTTAACATTCAGATGGGGGAGATAGAAAGTGAACACGTAAACAAATAAACTCTCATAAGGGCTGTGAAAACAATAAAATCAAGTAATGTGATAGAATGGCTGGAGATACTAAATAAGGGGCGGGGGGTGGAAGGAGGTGGGATGAGAGAGCCGGCAAGGGCCAGTTCACATGGGACCTTATGCACGTGGTGAAGATTTGGGATTTTATTTTGGTTACCACGGGAGGCTGTGTCGGAGAAGCAAGAGCAGCAGTAGAATGCACATGGTGTATTTGCAAAAAAAAGGTAAAGCAGCTTGAGTGGAGGGAAGACTCAAATAGGGGAGTCATGCCTGAGAAGGTGAGAAAGGTAGGTATTTATTTTAGATTGTGAAATTATTTGAATACCAGGCTTAGTAATCAGATTCAGAATGGATAAGATAAAAAGGTGGGAGTAGGGGGAAGGGGCAGGAAGGCAATAGGAAGATCAGTTAAAAGGCTGCGAAATGGTAAAATCCCACGTAAGGGTGGTTGTAGTAGACATGGAAAGGAAGAAAATGGCAACACATAGAAGAGGGAGAGCAAAGGAAGGATTTCCAGTTCTAGATAACCAATCAAATATCTGGGCTAGGAAGAGGGAACTTTTAATCAAAGATATGTTTAGAAATAGAGAATTCAGATTTTCTTATTGATGGATTTTATTAAGCTATCAAAGAAAAACGGTATTGTCTTATTTTTGATGGTTGATGTGCTGCTA